TTTATGATGTTTGTCTTTCTGACTTACTCAGAATGATAATCTCTAGAGCATCTATGTTGCTGCAAATGGCTTTATTTTACTTTTTTATGGCTGAGTAAGATCCAGATATATATATATGTGTGTATATATATATATACATATGCACACACATACACCACATCTTCGTCCATTCCACTGCTGGTGGACATTTAGGCTGTTGCCATGTCTTGGCTATTGTAAATACTGCCACTATGAACATTGGGGTGCGTGTATCTTTTCGAATACACAAATAGAGTTTTGTCTGGGTATGTTCCCAGGTGTGGGATTACTTGATCATATGATACGTCTATTTTTTTTTTAAGGAACCTCCAAACTGTTCTCCACAGTGGCTAGACCAAATTACATTCCCACCTACAGTGTGGAAAGGACCCCTACTGATTGCAGGTTGAGCAAGCTGCTGGAGCCACGGTCCAAACCAGCCTTGAGACCAACCAAATTTGCCTCCGGTTTGGCTCAAATAACTGCAATACCCAAGTCCTCTAATTTTCCAGGCTAAAATGCTTGATGCATACGTTTGAAAGGTTTTTCTCACTTGTTGTAAGGTTTTCAATTTTTTGTTTTTAATTATAAAGTAAATATGTCCTTTGGAGAAAGTATGTAAAATACAGAGAAGCACAAAGCTAATCAAGTCATGCAACATTTTGACAGATACATATCCAATCTTATTTCAGTTCATATAGATACATAATTCTGTTCTTTTTATATACAGTGCATACAGTTTTATAACCGTTTATTTGACTCACTTGCATATTATGACTAAAAGTATACAGTATCAAGCTTTTTTCTTGGTACCAAGTATTTTCTACTATGTATTAATAATTACTAATGATTGCATAGTTTTCCATAGTGTGGGTATGCCATAATTTATTTAATAAATTAGAGGGTTTAGGAAAAAATCTGTAGTTGAGCAGCTAGAGCCATCCCCTTAAGGTTATTGTAACGCATAAAAACCGTCCACCAAACTCTTTGACACACACGAATCCTCGAAGGTATGATTTTTCGTGTGAAATGGCTCTAGCTGTCAATCATTTCTTCTCTGTGTCATGGTTGTGGTGCTCTCTCCAGGTTGTTAGGGGGTGATTATGGATTCCTGTCAAATGAGATGTCTACTATGTATTCAACACAAGGCAGTTTGTATTCTTCTTCGTCTATTGCTTTCCCGTCGGAGGGAGTTAAGCAAATCTGTGAGCTAAAGGGGAATGGGATAGGCGTGAGTGCTGGCAGCGCACAGCAGACATGCCCTAAGCCCAGAGATCCCCAGATAAGCAGATTAGACTGCTACATAAATACATTTGTCTTGATTGTCACTTTCCACCCAGGGTTACACCTACATGCATAAAAATGGCTCCAAGCCTATTTTTTCAAAGCCAGTTTGCATCCCTTGTTGCTTTTTAACTAGCCAGCTCAGAGGCAATTTTTTGTGTGTTATATCTATCAAAGATGATTAAGGGACTGGGAGAGTTGATGTATAAGGATGGATTGAGAAAACTAAATATTTACAACTTGACTGAGTAACAGCCAAGGGGAAGATATTATGACTGTCTGCTGGGCTCAAATCATGGAGGAGATATTGTTTTGCCTTCCCCAGTAACTCAATTGTAGAGATATCTAAATTCAGGGAAAGTTTTCTGCAGATGACATCACTTATGCTAATTAGATAATTGTGTCAGTTGAAATTACATTTCACTGCTAGTAGCAGAAACTTGCAATAGCAGTGGCTTAGACAAATAAGGTTTCATTTTCTCTCCGATTACAACACGAAGCCCAGAAATGTATCATCTGGGTCTGCATGGCAGTTCTATGATGTCATCGATGCCTCTGTGGCCTCCTGCCTTTGGCTCCGTTATTCTCAGGGTGATTTTCATACTCAAGGTCACCTGGTATTTGAAGAAGAGCTACTGCAGCTTCACTTATCCTGGCTGCACTCCAGAAAGGGGGAGGCAAAAGGAGTCCCTGCCAGTAAGACTGCTTGGAAGAACTTTCTCAGCAGTCCGTTTCCTGATTCCAATTTACATCCCATTGACCGCCATATCCACAAGAGAGGCTGGGAAAGGGAGCAAGGTTTTGGTTTGGTTTATTTTGATTTTACATCGGGTACGTTGCTTACTGCAGCAGTCAAGATCCTTTGAGAAGGTGTGGCAGCCTGGAGATCGCGTAGGCAGCTGGTGGTCTCTGTCACAGTGACTTACCTCTTCAAGAGTCTGAGAAGTCTGGACTCTGAGACACGGCAACATTTGCTATGATATTAGAAGGTTCCATTTGTAAACCTAGCCCTAGCTATCTAATTTATTTACTTCTGATCACCCATCTATTTCAATTTATTCATCACAGCGTACCCTGGGTTGACAGTAAATAAACCCGTCATCTCAACAGACTAAAGAATAATAATGACTACAACTTATTAGCTTTCATCCAGCTCCATGCACTGTGTTATGCACTTAACATCACCTGAATGATTTGCTTCAAAATATTCCAGGGGGGATGGAGAGTAGAACTGAATAAATGAAACAATACTCACCATGTAAAGGTGAGAGTTAGTCACTCAGTCGTGTCCGACTCTTGGCAGTCCTATGGACTGTAGCCCGCCAGGCTCCTCTGTCCACGGGATTCTCCAGGCAAGAATACTAGAGTGGGTAGCCATTCCCTTCTCCAGGGGATCTTCCCGACCCAGGAATTGAATTGGCGTCTCCTGCATTGCTGGCAGATACTTTACCGTCTGAGCCACCAGGAATCACCATGGGTTGCTAGTAATTGAAGCTTGAGCAATGGCTACGGGGGAGGTGATTATATATATTCTTTGCTCTACTTTGTAATAATGGAAAGTTTCCCAATGAAGATCTTTAAATCACTTTCTCAGCTTCTTCCATGATTTTGTCTGAGGTCGGTACCATTAGCCCTAGCTAACCATGCTGAGGGCAGGTAAGCAGCATCACAGAGCAAATGAATGGCAGTTTGAGGACTCAGACCCAGGTTTGCCTGACTTAGAAACCTGTGCTGTAACCCCGATTATTCAAAGAAAGTGTGTCTTCCAGGGAAGGAGACTGAAACTTATGAGAAATTCAGACTTTTGGGTCCCACCAAGACCTGTTACACGACCCTTACATTTGGTTTGTGTGCTTACCCAGAGTTCCCATGCTCTGTCCATGGCAGTGTTAATTGCCTCCGTAGCCACCACTTACCCAACTCAATCAACTGTGACTTTCCTTAAAAAAATGTTACCCACTTTTAGAGAGAGAACGTAGGTACACCTATGACTGATTCATGTTGATGTTTGGCAGAAACCAACACAATACTATAAAGCAATTACCCTTCAATTACAAATAAATTAATTTTAAAAAATGCTACCCTCTTTTGAAACAAGAAGTCTTATCATGAGCCACTCTTTGGTAGCATTTAACAACAATTTAATAAGCATTTAATTCAGAGCAGTTACTTCTTTCAACATTGAGCACCCGCCTTTATTGCTGGGCACTACATGCCTATGTGTGAATTAAGCATTGTTCTGACCATGTTGTCAGCTGCTAATAATCACTGCTTGCTTGAAACTAACTTTGGTTTGTTCTTAAATAATGCTCTTGCTCTGTTCACTTAAGGTATTGTGAGTTTCAAAAGCTTTGGGACTTACAGAAAATTTCAAGTACCTGTTCTTCTCACCATCTCTATTTACCTGTGTGTACTTTTCCCAAAATGTTGTGTTTTTGTTTTCCCTATAGCATCTTCAGTCATCTTGTATCATTTCAGCCATGTCTTTGAAAGAAAGAGAAATATGGATTAGTTTTTATGTACCATGCAGGCAAAACACTTAACCTTCTGAGCCTCCATCCCTCCTTTTGTACAGTGGCTGGGTCACTTCCGATGTCATTCTTCTCTAACCTCATATAACTTGATTTTTCAACCCATCCCCTCCCCACAAAAGAAAACCACAGAAACATTTTGAAGATAATGGACTGTATGGGAAATGCACTTGATTATATTTTCCAGCCAGTTAAAGGATCCTTCACTGATTTGTACTGGTTTCTCTATCCAAATAGATGTTTTATAGCTTCCTTGCCTCCAGTCCTTTTTAGAACAAGGAGAAGACTCTTCAAAGTCCCTTGGACAGCAAGGAGATCAAATCAGTCAATCCTAAAGGAAACCAACCTTGAATATTCATTGGAAGGACTGATGCTGAAGCTGAAACTCCATTACTTGGACTACCTCCTGCGAAGAGCTGACTCATTGGGAAAGACCCCGATGCTGGGAAAGATTGAAGGCAGGAGGAGAAGGGGATGACAGAGGATGAGATGGTTGGATGGCATCACCGACTCAAGGGAGACAAATTTGAGCAAGCTCTGGGAGATGTTGAAGGGCAGGGAAGCCTGACACGAGGCAGTCCATGGGGCTGCAAAGAGTTGGACATGACTGAGCAACAACCACAAAATGAATCAATGAATGAGGCCTGTCATCCATTTCAGCTATAATCTGCTTTCTTAAAGAGATTGGACCCTCTTTGCTTTTGAACAGCTTAAAACATTTTCTGGCTGCCAAGTTAATATGGCTGTTTCGTATGTTATAATCACCTTCAAACACTGTATATACCTAACACCCTAACCTATTAGTCAACTTCCATAGCAGAAGAGGCAAGAAGAAAACCTACAAAAGAGCAGGTGTCAAAGCCATCCTGAAGGACTGTCACTGTATAATCAGGCCCACACTGGTTGGAGTACAAGTATCAGCGTCACTTTGTTCTTCTTCTTCATTCTTCCAATGACTCTTGCTCTTATAACAGGAGAAAATATATGCATATGATAATGCCAATATATGTATATGATAATGTTCTCACAAAATAGAACCTAGGAAAAAATAGCATGCTGTAAGATAGTGATGATAACAACCATCTTTGCTAGACAAGCGTTAGAAAGTCTTGCCACCTCTGTCTTTTCGAGGCTGTAAGTAAAGTGTGTTTCTGATTTGTTGTGCAGGGCAGCGTTTGGCAAGGAGTCGGAAGTTCTTATTGGAAACCTGGGTGATAAATTAATCCCTCCACAAGACATCCTCTGTGACGTCAGCGACCTCAAAGCCTTGGCCAACATGCACGAGAGCTTGGAATGGTTAGCAGGCCGAACAAAGGCAGCCTTCTCCAGTCTTTCTACGTCCCAGAGTGAGTATTGGTGGGGTGGATCTTGTGGGGCCAGCTGAGAAACTAGACTGAGCACATTCATTTGAGATGAGAGAGCGTCTACACGTCTCCATAGGGGCACATGTCCAAGTTGTCAGAAGATCCATGCAGGGATTCTGCTTGTGCTGAGCCTCGGGTACTTTGCGGTTCTGTGAAACAAAGAAATCTTGACTTCTGTGTTTTGGGGCGTGGGAAGCCAAAAAAGGTCCATGTCAGCATAGCTTGACATTAAACCTTAGAAACCCAGGATCATGCAAGATTGAACCACCATGTCTCAAGAACAGAAAGCAGTATACTTTTTCCTCCTTATGACTTCTTAAAGGTAGAAACTATATCTCGGAGCTTAAAGTTGTATATTTGGTTGATGTTTTCATTTCGACTGATAGAAGAGAAATCAAAAGTTTCTAAAAAGACAATTAGAAAGTATCTAAAAAGACAGTGAGAAAAACAATTATTCTAGGTAAGAGATGGCTAAAAGATAACCTCATTATACATTTCAGGGGAATTAAGGGATATGGTCTGAAGTAAAAATAGGAAACCTGTTTTTCTATCAAGGACCAATGATCAGTTATTTCAAAATAATTTGAAAACTTTGGGACACAAAATTTATTCATTAAATACAGCATAAATACTTTTTTAAAGCATTAGTTAAGTGTTAAACAGTTAAAATAAAGGCAAAGAAAAAAGTGATATGCAGAAGGAATAAAGGAGATGGCAGATTTGAATGCATGAATGGAAGGACAGAAAACAGGATAGAAAAAAGCAAAATAACAGCAAGAACATGAAAGAAACTAAATCAACTCTGAAGTTAATATTGGACTGAACTGTTAGAAGATTATTAGAAGGAAAAGCTTATATTATTTGGACCGTGAACTTCAAAGAAAGTTATTTTTTATCACTGTCTCTTGAAAAGTTATTATTACTTGATGAACCGTGATTTCAAGACCCAAGAGGGAGAAGATGTGGATGAAATAAACTAGAGTAAATTATTTCCTGGAACATGAGTCTCATGGGCAGTCTAGGAGACTTGTGAATGCTCACTACTTACAATCTCCCGCAGGTTGTGTAGCTGTCCTGGGGGTCAGCAGCGGGTGAGGAAGAAGGATGGAAGGAGGGGGCTTTTGATGTTAGGCATTCTGCTTTAGAAATCTCATTAAAATGCTACTCTTTGATAATACTTTTATTTTTATACTTTTATTATTTAAAATATTGCTTTTAGCTGATAAATACTTGGGTGCGGTATTGGGTCTGAGCAGACTCTGCCTAAGTAGATACCTTTGGGAGGCTTTCAACTTTGTGATCTCTTCAGATCAAGGAACCTGTCACAAGTAGTAGTTGAAATTAGCTATTTTATCTCCCACACTCACCCCACTCCACCACCACCAACAAAAAAAAGTGAGGGAGGAGCTGACTTCCCCTTTTGTTCCTTGCCAAATAAACAGCTCTGAAGAGGAACCAGATGCTTCCTGTCCCAGTATCCTTTGACTCTTGAAATGTAGGGCTGCTTGGGCAGGTGTGTTAGTGACGACTGGAAGGAGTCCTCTCGTTTGGTGGGTCATCCAAGTCTAATCGTTAATAGTGCAATCTCTTACTTTAGCAGCACAGCAGTCCAGATTTCTACTCTAAAAGAGTTCCACAAGGCAAAATAGAACACACAACCTCTCCAGCAAGCCACCGAGTGATTCACACAGGCTAACCTGGCTTTAACTGTTCTCTGCACAGAAAGACATGCTCTCATAGTTATGCTCAACTCTGTAATTGCACCATCCCGCTGTTGTGTTCATGTCACTAAGAGTCCCCAGTACAGTTGATGTCTAATTCATGCCTTCTATCATCTCTGTTTTTCTGACAAAGATCTCTCGTACCACGCCCGTTAATACCTCTCATATGCTCAGTTCCATTTTATAATATAAGTTGTACCCTCTCAGTTCCTTTCAGGGTGATTATTCCACCCAGTGAGTGATTTAAGTGACTGTCAGCATTTTGACGATCAGCGCAAAACCCAAGTGAACTGTAATCACTAGTTATGTTGTCTTTGTTAAAACAAAGCATCGAGCAAACCTGGTTTATTCTGTTAGCAACATGCCTTGCTCACCCACACTTGTCTAGTCTTCGAATTCCCAGCAGAGATGCCCATTGCTGTTTATAATTTGAACAAAGCAAGGGATTCTCTGATAATGGGTTACTTTGATTGTTCCATGTCAGTGTGACTTTAGAAAGGGAATCAGGGACAGCTCTTTATACTCCTTTGAAAAGTGAACCACATGATTGCTTTAACAAAAGTATTGCCAAGTCTGGAGACTTGATAGCATGAAGAAAATGCCAGCCTTTTTATCTAGCACTCCCAGAGACTCAGGATGGGGAAAAGTCAAGAAAAGAAGTGTAAAAGTTGCCTCCAACTAATAAAAATAAATGGGGGAAAAAAAAAGTGTAAAAGTGTATTTTTTGTCCACATCTGTTTACCTATTTTGGATGGTAATACCGTGCCTTATTATAATTAAGGTACATGGAGAAAGTTTGCAGAAAATTATTTTCATAGTAAAAACAAAAATCTCTTTAGATATTACAATAGGATTCTCCTCCACTTGAAATATTTCATGTCTTTATGAAATATTTCAAGTAAAGGATAATGGCAGACCATGGCTGGCCATGTGCCCAGGAAATAAGAGTAGACCCTTTTTTCAAAGATAGTTTTTCCATCTCTTTTAGTGTTTGCACCCACACCCTTCTGTCTTCTTTACACTTAGGAGAGTCTCCTTACCTCATGTAGATCCTAACTGCACCAGAGACACTGCTCTTTTTTCATCCTTCCGCAGTCCTTGTTCCTTCTCCATGTCTCCCAGTATTCTCCTGCTCAGTCTTCCTTAAACTTACTCTGCTTAAAATCCTTTCTGCTGAGTGCTCAGTTACTTCAGTCGTCCGACTTTTTGTGACCCCATGGACCGTAGCCCACCAGGATCCTCTGTCCATGGGATTTCCCAGGCAAGAAGCCTGGAGTGGATTGCCATGCCCTCCTCCAGGGCATCTTCCCAACCCAGGGATCAAACCCACGTTTCCTGCATCTTCTGCATTGCAGGCAGATTCTCTCCTGCTGAGCCACCAGGGAAGCCTGGTGACAGTCACAGCCCAAGTAAAGGACAAAAAATATTCTTTATTTATAAAACCAGTAAATCTTTTTAATGGCTGAGTAATATTCCATAGTGTATATGTACCATAGCTTCCTCATCCATTCGTCTGCTGATGGGCATCTAGGTTGCTTCCATGTCCTGACTATTATAAACAGTGCTGCAATGAACATTGGGGTGCACGTGTCTCTTTCAGATCTGGTTTCCTCGGTGTGTATGCCCAGAAGTGGGATTGCTGGGTCATATGGCAGTTCTATTTCCAGCTTTTTAAGAAATCTCCACACTGTTTTCCATAGTGGCTGTACTGGTTTGCATTCCCCCCAACAGTGTAAGAGGGTTCCCTTTTCTCCACAGCCTCTCCAGCATTTATTGCTTGTAGACTTTTGGATAGCAGCCATCCTGACTGGCGTGTAATGGTACCTCATTGTGGTTTTGATTTGCATTTCTCTGATAATGAGTGATGTTGAGCATCTTTTCATGTGTTTGTTAGCCATCTGTATGTCTTCCTTGGAGAAATGTCTGTTTAGTTCTTTGGCCCATTTTTTGATTGGGTCATTTATTTTTCTGGAGTTGAGCTGGAGGAGTTGCTTGTATATTTTTGAGGTTAATCCTTTGTCTGTTGCTTTGTTTGCTATTATTTTCTCCCAATCTGAGAGCTGTCTTTTCACCTTGCTTATAGTTTCCTTTGTTGTGCAAAAGCTTTTAAGTTTCATTAGGTCCCATTTGTTTATTTTTGCTTTTGTTTCTAAAATTCTGGGAGGTGGGTCATAGAGGATCTTGCTGTGATTTATGTCGGAGAGTGTTTTGCCTATGTTCTCCTCTAGGAGTTTTATAGTTTCTGGTCTTACATTTAGATCTTTAATCCATTTTGAGTTTATTTTTGTGTATGGTGTTAGAAAGTGTTCTAGTTTCATCCTTTTACAGGTGGTTGACCAGTTTTCCCAACACCACTTGTTAAAGAGGTTGTCTTTTCTCCATTGTATATCCTTGCCTCCTTTGCCTCCTTTGCCATATGACCCAGCAATCCCACTTCTGGGCATACACACCAAGGAAACCAGATCTGAAAGAGACACGTGCACCCCAATGTTCATCGCAGCACTGTTTATAATAGCCAGGACATGGAAGCAACCTAGATGCCCATCAGCAGACGAATGGATAAGGAAGCTGTGGTACATATACACCATGGAATATTACTCAGCCATTAAAAAGAATTCATTTGAATCAGTTCTAATGAGATGGATGAAACTGGAGCCCATTATACAGAGCGAAGTAAGCCAGAAAGATAAAGACCATTACAGTATACTAACACATATATATGGAATTTAGAAAGATGGTAATGATAACCCTATATGCAAAACAAAAAGAGACACAGATGTATAGAACAGACTTGTGGACTCTGGGAGAGGGCGAGGGTGGGATGTTCCAAGAGAACAGCATCGAAACATGTATATTATCTAGGGTGAAAGAGATCACCAGCCCAGGTTGGATGCATGAGACAAGTGCTCGGACTTGGTACACTGGGAAGACCCAGAGGGATCGGGTGGAGAGGGAGGTGGGAGGGGGGACTGGGATGGGGAATACATGTAAATCCATGGCTAATTCATTTCAGTGTATGACAAAAACCACTGCAATGTTGTAAAGTAATTAGCCTCCAACTAATAAAAATAAATGGAAAAATAAATAAATAAATAAAATGGAAACAAAAATAAATAAATAAATAAAACCAGTAAATCAAAGACTTCAGATGTGGCTGAATGCAGAGGTTCACAAGATAACAGTTTAACAGACCTGTTTACGCACCTGCCTTGCCTCTCCCCCTTTCTCTATTTTTGCTGTATTCCCTTTATTTCATCTCAG